GTTTTATCGCAGTCGTAATGTTTAGTTTTAAAGCAGTCGTAATGTTTAGTTTTAAAGCAGTCGTAATGTTTAGTTTTATCGCAGTCGTAATGTTTAGTTTTATCGCAGTCGTAATGTTTAGTTTTAAAGCAGTCGTAATGTTTAGTTTTATCGCAGTCGTAATGTTTAGTTTTAAAGCAGTCGTAATGTTTAGTTTTATCGCAGTCGTAATGTTTAGTTTTATCGCAGTCGTAATGTTTAGTTTTAAAGCAGTCGTAATGTTTAGTTTTAAAGCAGTCGTAATGTTTAGTTTTATCGCAGTCGTAATGTTTAGTTTTATCGCAGTCGTAATGTTTAGTTTTAAAGCAGTCGTAATGTTTAGTTTTATCGCAGTCGTAATGTTTAGTTTTAAAGCAGTCGTAATGTTTAGTTTTAAAGCAGTCGTAATGTTTAGTTTTAAAGCAGTCGTAATCTTTTTAACTACAATAATTTCTGATGCATATGTTCCAAAAGCTAAAGAATACCTTTATCCATGGATACTCAGCAAGACAACACGAGCTTGTGTGCTTGTATGACCATAACAAACGAGGATGTAGAACGACCAGATTAATACAACAACCTCACCACTTTGCAGTTCTGACAACCTCACCACTCTGCAGTTCTGACAACCTCACCACTCTGCAGTTCTGACAACCTCTCTCCTACAGTTCTGCAGTAGATGCCAACACTCTCTACAATTACGAGGACATCACCACTGTGTTATAGCAAGAGAAGAATGAAACACTTCCATTCATGAATAATAGAATAACATAAGTTACGATGTTGTGGGGGACGGGAGAGGGATCCTATTGTTTCATTTATTAGACACAAGCAGCTGGGTCCAGGTTAGCGTCAGGAGGGGATAATACGATGTGTAGATATGGGTGACTCAGCGAAGGTGGGTGAGGCGATGTAGACTTTCAGGAGCTAGAACTCAACTCACTGTGATTCAAATAGATCAATACACAACTACAAGGACTTCCAAATTACGGTGTCTTCAAGGTTTAGTGGAGGAAAGGTTCATGGTTGTAGTGTTTGCTACATGTCTGTTTGGGTTGTACATAGATATTTTCTCTGATATACATTGCTTTTCGATAGTTCCGAAAGCGAAGTAAGGGAGTTGTGATTGTCACTGCTTGTAAATTGTAAATACACAGAACAGCGTCAGCAACTAGGTTCTGTCGAAGAGTACGCGTCAGGGAGATTATTAGAACCTTCTCCGCAAGCTTGCCCTTAAGCTGTAGCAGTCCTTCAGTTCTCCAAAGGTTTTACTTTAAGCTGTACTATTCGTCAAGTATACTTGCCTTAAAGTAGCAGCTGTCCCACAGGCCTACACAAAATTTTTTTCACCGGGTGTATCTTCGCAGGTTTCTTGTTAAGTTAGAGCAGTCCCACAGGTTTCACTTGATGCTGCACCATACATCAGGTGAATATTCGTAGGCTCTCCCTTGAGCTGTAGCAGTTCCACAAGCCTTCACAGATTTCACTATAAGCTGTACTATTCATCAGGTGTACCTGAGTAAGCTTGCCCTTGAGCTGAACCAATCCCTGTGTGAGTGTGAGGGTGTGTTGTGTTCTGGGGAGTGTATTGAAGCGTCGACGGAAGCTTTCATTTTTGTTAGGCCATAAGATCGATGGCAAGAATAGGGAGGGGAAGGTTTGAGATTGAATAGAGCGGTGAGAAAGGTTGTGGGTAGACAGGAAGAGAGAGGTAAGAGAGGTTAAATGGCTTGACCACACTGGATGGGTTTTAAGAGAGCATTTTAGTCACAAAGTAACGAATGCATTTTGTTAACTGATGTTATATTAATATTGCACAACAAATGGGATTAAGACTCACTTCTTGGCTTAATGTGTTCCATGTACTCATTACTCTCATACTGAATAACTTTCTTATTACATCTCTTTGGCTTATTTGATGGTTCAGTGGAACCAGTGATTGTGTCCCTTTGTCGTTGTGCTTCCTGTTGGCGAACCTGAATATCTTGTGTGTTGTGGTCATGTTCCCTTTTATTTCACGGAACACCTGGTGGTAAACCTCATCATCTCAAGTTTTCTGAGTGCTTGAGGTGTGAGTACCATGAAGGCACCATATAATGTAAAAAATCCTGAAGGATTCTTTGAGACTCCCAAAGGTTACTGAGATGAAAATCCTGACGGATGTTTTTACATTCGTCAAATTTGCAAATACTGCTTCAGGTTTTATTATTTTTTCCTCCTCATGTCTTTCTCTTTGGAATCTAGAAGCTTAGCTCCTCTCACATGATGCCTTTAGCCTATTTTATACATTTCTAGCCACTTGTCAGAGCATTTCTGTAGCTTTCACATATACTCTTGTAACTTCTTACCTCATCTTTTGTTTCCATTATTTTTATTTGTTTAGCATCATCTACAAACAGTGATGGGAAAGACTCTCGCTAAAGGTAGGTCGTTCACATAATTAAGAATGATCCTTGAGTGAATATGATAGTCACAGTTCTCCATCTTTCAACTCAGTCTCAGTGTGACTATTTGTCAACTGTTTGTTCCGTACACAGTGTCTTATTAGTATACTTCTTAGAAAGTTATGACTCTCAGATGTTAATTAGGTACTTTGTAGAGTACTCTTCTGGGGAACGCTGTCGAAGGCCTCTGGATGGGTTAGCAATATGTAGTTCATTTAGTCTTGTTTTTCTCTTCTCTGATCTCTATCAGTCTCATAAAATTCTGTTAAGTTAGCGAGAAAATGTGTGTAGGCGTGTACTTACCTATCTCTGTTTCCTGAGGTTGATTTGTACCTCCTGGTCCTGCATCTTAATTATTATCAACTCGCTTTATTGGTTCTTGAAGGGAGGGAGGGAGGCAGGAAAAAATGAATGAAATGGATGGAAAGGAGAAGAACGAAGTAAGGAAGGGTTAGAATGTTGGTAGGGATGAAAAGAGAGGGAAAAGAGTGAAGAATTAAAATGGCATGATGGAATGGGAAGTGAGAGAATAGAAGGAGAGAGAGAGAGAGAGAGGAAGTGAGAATGAATGTGTAACTTGGGCGTGGTAAATCAAGAAACGTCACCCCCCTCAATATATTTTTGCTTTGATGTTGATCCAGAACCATTAAAGCCGCACCCTGACCTCCTCCCGCATCCCACACAAAGACTACGTGATATTACACCAGGGCTGCACGCCACCCACAAAATTCTATCTTATTTTTATTTGAAGTGTGGAAGGATTACTTTTTCTTTTATCGTCATATACAGATAGAATTACTGACAGTCAGAAAAGGACAGAGAACGTAGAGAAATTTAGGGAGAGACAGATAATAGACGGTCAAAACAAGCCGGCATAGAAAGACAGAAAAATACATAGACAGAGAAACAGGGTTAAATATACAAACATGGATAGACACAGGAAAATGCAGCAGGAACAACCACACAGACATACACAGACTGACAAAGACAAACAGACTTCATTTCCCTCAGTGACATGCTAACTCCCGCTCACTAACTACCACACAAACATTAACACTCCCACACACAGCTACGAATTATCCCAGACCATCGATAATGAAATCCCAGAAACTAAGGAGTAGAAGAGCACATATATATATCGAGACATTGTATGCTAAGACCACTCTGATACCAAACAAGATCAGAAAGTTGCAAGACAGAGTAGATGAATCACTTTCAGACTTAACATGAATACATAGACAAAACTAACAAGTGATAAGAGAAGTCATAAATAAAAAAGGAGAAAAGGTCCATGGTCTTACTTGTTAAGAAACACTGGGGCTTTGTGGAAATTGGAATCCTAAACTGTGAGATATTAATGGAATACACAAATGGAACACTAACCACAGGAATTTACGAAATAAATGCGGCATCCATTTATAACTTCCACCAAACAACCGGAACCTCCAGACGGGAATACAATTAAAAGATGGTCACAATATCCAATCTTAAGAAAATCACAAGTGATGGAGCAAGGTCATTAAAGCTATATTACTTAAATAATGGAGAGAAGAAACTGGGAAAAATGAGACTTCAAATATGGTGTTTACACTGAAAAGATTCGACGTTGATGATGCTGGTCTGTAGATTATTAGAGGCTGATGTTCATATACATTTGGAAAAAGATAAGTAACGATAACTTTTGTTTCCTATTTGGATCAACTTGAGATGGTGGTAAATTGCCGATGTGTAAACAAAGTGTACATGACCTACCCTAATGAAAAAAAAGATTAGAAACCCGGTTTATTTTTGTGAATTCAGGTACACACATTAACCACTAAAAAATTATTGCAGAGCACAAAATTGTGTAGTTAACATATATATATATATATTATATATATATTATATATATATATATATATAATATATATATATATATATATATATATAATATATATATATATATATATATATATATATATATATATATATTATATATATATATATATATATTTCAGGGATGATGATATATATATGTCGTGCCGAATATGTAAAACTGGTCAATTAGCAAGAACTCTTTTAAAATTAAGTCCTTTCTAAAATTTTCTCTTATAAGTTTAAAGATATATTTTTTTCATTAATGTTAAAATAAATTTTTTTAATTTTGTACCAAAAGAATCTTAGAAAACTTACCTAACCTTATTATAAAAAGAACAATTTATTTTAACCTAACCCAACTAAATATATTTTAGATTTGTTTACAGTAATTTAATACTAAACAAACACAGTGAAATAATTTTTTTTCGTTAGGTTCAGAATGATTTTGGCGAAATTATTGCATACACAAATTTTCGCTTGTCCTATATGGCAAGATGAGCTTTGCTATTTAAGCCAAGATCGCAAGTTCTGCTTATTCGGCACGACATATATATATATATATATATATATATATATATATATATATATATATATATATATATATATATATATATATATATATATATACATATATGATATATATACATAGGCTTAAATAAACCGCAAGATATATACACTCACCACCAAACTTGACGCTCGGGAGACCCTCAAGCATCGTTGCCAGAGCAGGGGAAGTACGATCTCCCAGCTGAGAAGAGGAAGAGTGTTTTCATTAGGGGAAAAGACTTGTGAACATTATATATATATATATATATATATATATATATATATATATATATATATATATATATATATATATATATATATATATATATTTATATATAGTTATTATTGAAAGAATTAAGAGAAGACGGAGAATAGGATAGCAGATGAACAAGGAGGCTTTAGGAAAGGTAGGGGGTGTGTGGACCAGGTGTTTACAGTGAAACATATAAGTGAACAGTATTTAGATAAGGCTAAAGAGGTCTTTGTGGCATTTATGGATTTGGAAAAGGCGTATGACAGGGTGGATAGGGGGACAATGTGGCAGATGTTGCAGGTGTATGGTGTAGGAGGTAGGTTACTGAAAGCAGTGAAGAGTTTTTACGAGGATAGTGAGGCTCAAGTTAGAGTATGTAGGAAAGAGGGAGATTATTTCCCAGTAAAAGTAGGCCTTAGACAAGGATGTGTGATGTCACCGTGGTTGTTTAATATATTTATAGATGGGGTTGTAAGAGAAGTAAATGCGAGGGTCTTGGCAAGAGGCGTGGAGTTAAAAGATAAAGAATCACACATAAAGTGGGAGTTATCACAGTTGCTCTTTGCTGATGACACTGTGCTCTTGGGAGATTCTGAAGAGAAGTTGCAGAGATTGGTGGATGAATTTGGTAGGGTGTGCAAAAGAAGAAAATTAAAAGTGAATACAGGAAAGAGTACGGTTATGAGGATAACAAAAAGATTAGGTGATGAAAGATTGGATATCAGATTGGAGGGAGTATGGAGGAGGTGAATGTATTCAGAAATTTGGGAGTGGACGTGTCAGCGGATGGGTCTATGAAAGATGAGGTGAATCATAGAATTGATGAGGGGAAAAGGATGAGTGGTGCACTTAGGAGTCTGTGGAGACAAAAAACTTTGTCCTTGGAAGCAAAGAGGGAAATGTATGAGAGTATAGTTTTACCAACGCTCTTATATGGGTGTGAAGCATGGGTGATGAATGTTGCAGCGAGGAGAAGGCTGGAGGCAGTGGACATGTCATGTCTGAGGGCAATGTGTGGTGTGAATATAATGCAGAGAATTCGTAGTTTGGAAGTTAGGAGGAGGTGCGGGATTACCAAAACTGTTGTCCAGAGGGCTGAGGAAGGGTTGTTGAGGTGGTTCGGACATGTAGAGAGAATGGAGCGAAACAGAATAACTTCAGAGTGTATCAGTCTGTGTGGAAGGAAGGCGGGGTAGGGGTCGGCCTAGGAAAGGTTGGAGGGAGGGGGTAAAGGAGGTTTTGTGTGCGAGGGGCTTGGACTTCCAGCAGGCATGCGTGAGCGTGTTTGGTAGGAGTGAATGGAGACAAATGGTTTTTAATACTTGACGTGCTGTTGGAGTGTGAGCAAAGTAACATTTATGAAGGGGTTCAGGGAAACCGGCAGGCCGGACTTGAGTTCTGGAGATGGGAAGTACAGTGCCTGCACTCTGAAGGAGGGGTGTTAATGTTGCAGTTTAAAAACAGTAGTGTAAAGCACCCTTCTGGCAAGACAGTGATGGAGTGAATGATGGTGAAGTTTTTCTTTTTCGGGCCACCCTGCCTGGTGGGAATCGGCCAGTGTGATAATAATAATAATATAAATAAATAAATAAATAAATATATATATATATATATATATATATATATATATATATATATATAATATATATTAATAACAACACTGCGACTAGCCAAGGAGTCGAAACCCACATGCCTTTGGCTTGCCTCATTGTGGGTCGAAAATTCATGACGCCTTAATCCACTGGACCACCACAATCCTTAAGAGTAGCGCATCCAGCAGATCCAGCGCATCCAGGCGTTCATGAGTTTTCAACCACCATGAAGCAGGCCAAAGCAGCATGGGTTCGACTCTTGGCTAGTCCCAGTGTTGTTATTGATCAATACCACTTGTTCGTGGGTACAATAATATATAATAATATATTATATATATATTATATATATATATATATATAATATATATATATTTATATATATATTATTTTTTTTTATTATCACACTGGCCGATTCCCACCAAGGCAGAGTGGCCCGAAAAAGAAAAACTTTCACCATCATTCACTCCATCACTGTCTTGCCAGAAGGGTGCTTTACACTACAGTTTTTAAACTGCAACATTAACACCCCTCCTTCAGAGTGCAGGCACTGTACTTCCCATCTCCAGGACTCAAGTCCGGCCTGCCGGTTTCCCTGAATCCCTTCATAAATGTTACTTTGCTCACACTCCAACAGCACGTCAAGTATTAAAAACATTTGTCTCCATTCACTCCTATCAAACACGCTCACGCATGCCTGCTGGAAGTCCAAGCCCCTCGCACACAAAACTCCTTTACCCCCTCCCTCCAACCTTTCCTAGGCCGACCCCTACCCCGCCTTCCTTCCACTACAGACTGATACACTCTTGAAGTCATTCTGTTTCGCTCATTCTCTCTACATGTCCGAACCACCTCAACAACCCTTCCTCAGCCCTCTGGACAACAAGTTTTGGTAATCCCGCACCTCCTCCTAACTTCCAAACTACGAATTCTCTGCATTAATTCACACAAACACCCTCAGACATGACATATTTATATATATATATAATTATAATTATAGTAAAATAATATATAATAATATATATAATATGTATATAGGATAACATAAAATTATATAATAATTATATAGATTAATATGAATAATTATTCAGATATTTGGGAGTGGACGTGTCAGCGGATGGGTCTATGAAAGATGAGGTGAATCATAGAATTGATGAGGGAAAAAGAGTGAGTGGTGCACTTAGGAGTCTGTGGAGACAAAGAACTTTGTCCTTGGAGGCAAAGAGGGAAATGTATGGAGAGTATAGTTTTACCAACGCTCTTATATGGGTGTGAAGCGTGGGTGATGAATGTTGCAGCGAGGAGAAGGCTGGAGGCAGTGGAGATGTCATGTCTGAGGGCAATGTGTGGTGTGAATATAATGCAGAGAATTCGTAGTTTGGAAGTTAGGAGGAGGTGCGGGATTACCAAAACTGTTGTCCAGAGGGCTGAGGAAGGGTTGTTGAGGTGGTTCGGACATGTAGAGAGAATGGAGCGAAACAGAATGACTTCAAGAGTGTATCAGTCTGTAGTGGAAGGAAGGCGGGGTAGGGGTCGGCCTAGGAAGGGTTGGAGGGAGGGGGTAAAGGAGGTTTTGTGTGCGAGGGGCTTGGAACTTCCAGCAGGCATGCGTGAGCGTGTTTGATAGGAGTGAATGGAGACAAATGGTTTTTAATACTGACGTGCTGTTGGAGTGTGAGCAAAGTAACATTTATGAAGGGATTCAGGGAAACCGGCAGGCCGGACTTGAGTCCTGGAGATGGGAAGTACAGTGCCTGCACTCTGAAGGAGGGGTGTTAATGTTGCAGTTTAAAAACTGTAGTGTAAAGCACCCTTCTGGCAAGACAGTGATGGAGTGAATGATGGTGAAAGTTTTTCTTTTTCGGGCCACCCTGCCTTGGTGGGAATCGGCCAGTGTGATAATAAAAAATAATATATATATATATATATATATATATATATATATATATATATATATATATATATATATATAATTATATATATATATATATATATCAATATACCATTACTATGCACTACCAAATTCAAAACCAGGGGGTGGGGATTGGGTGTTTGAGTGGTGAGGGGATGGGGAAAAGAGTATAAAAATCTTAATTTAGGCAAATGGCACTCACGTATGGATTAAAAATCTGCCAAATTTAGATTTATTTGCACTTAGCCGTTTTTTTTTCATCTTGGTTCGTGTTATTATTTATTTTTTGCAGTGGAAGTGTGAATTTTCTGATGTTGAGGTCGTAGAATATTTTACTTTATTTGGGAAAAAATATATTATTTGTGAATTCGTGTGTGTGTATCAATTGTGGATGTGGGTGTGGGTGTTTGGTGGTGAGGGGTGGTGAGAGTGTGTTGGTGATGGTTAATGTGTTTGTTGTTTTGTCCTTAGCTGTTTTTTTTTTTTTGGTTCGGTTTTATTTTAAGTTTTTGCAGTGGAAGTGTGGAATGTTCCTGTGTTGGAGGTGCGTAGGATATTTTACTTTTTGTTGTGGGAAAAAGAATTATGTTGTGTGTGTGTGTGTGTGTGTGTTGTGGTGTGTGTGTGTGGTGTGTGTGTTGTGGGGTGTGTGTGTGGTGTGTGTGTGTGTGGTGTTGTGTCTGTGTGTGTGTGTGTGTGTGTCTGTTTACTTACCATCC